TAGCAAATTGGCAGTCACTCCATTCTCTGTTACATTCCTAGAAGCACCTTGTCCAATGAGGACTCTATTGTCTATCTCTAGATACTCTGAATCTTGCACAGCAGCCACCCCACCTTCAGAAGCACTTGAGGTCCCAACACACAGAGTACCAAACACAGCACCAAGGCCAATTTTTGGTAATGAAATTGTGGCATAAATAAATAAATAAGGGAAAGATCTTGGTAGAATGTGCAACTTACCACTTGCTGAGCCAATCCCTGGAGTGGATTGCACCAAAGAGAATAGGGATAATGCTCCAATTAGCACCCTCCACCCCGGTCTCAAGCAAAATGCTCCCATGGGTCCTCTTGTTCAGCACCAAAATCACAGATGGCTTTGGGTAAATGAGTGCAAGCAGGAGAATGGCTAGAAGGGGGTTCTGAAGCACAGAAGAGAACTGGGCTTCCCTTGTCCATGGCCAGAGCAGGGAGCCTTCCCAGTCCCCACCCCACCCAGCAACTGGAACAATCAGCCAATCATGAGATGGGCCTGGGAAACAAACATCCTCCCCAGAGGGGGTCTGGCATCTTATGCCCTCCCAACATTTTCTGGGCTGTTTTCCCTAAAATAAATATGTCCCAAAAGGTGCTAATTTTCAGGGAAAAGGGTGTTAACCATCTTTGAGGCTCAACAGTAGCTCCATTAAACATGGTTATAACATGACTTTGTGAAAAAATAGCTGGGTGCCTTGTAATTTGTAATGGAGAGTCACCAGAGCACTTTGAAGGCCATTTTCAAGTTAGTAAAAGCACAATTTTGTACAGCAGGGACTAAAAGTGAGCATTCAGAGGCTGTGGGCTGCGACTCAGTGGTAGAACATGTGTCTAACATGCTCAAGATCTTAGGTTCAATCCCCTGCACCAATAAACAGGGATAAAAATGGTAATTTTGTCTTACACAAATCATAAATACTTGTTGGATTACAAAGGATGCCCATTTCATCTATAATCATGCATGCTTCCCATTGGCTTCAAAATAAATATGTCTATAACTCAGTCTATCACATAACTAACACCTTGATAAGTTTCCCCCAGATGCCTTTGGTCTTTCAGCCATTTGGAATGTAGGGAGGACATCAATGTCCTGTTCTCTCTGCAAAATCACATGCTGCAACTCCACGGGAGGGCTGCAGTTATCACAGTAGGGATCATCTCTTAGGATTGCAGGGTTCAGTGATCACTTTATCACTTTGATTTATTTTGAGTGAGTAATTAAATAACCACCTATGTTGTCCAATACATTTGCTAAAAAAAAAGAAAAAGAAACCAACCAACACACACATACACGCACACTCTCTGTGGGAATTTATTAGGTTCTGAAGCACATTATTTTTTATTTTTAAAAAACTGTTCTAAGTAGTTATAGGATAGTAGAATGCATTTTCAAACATTGTACACAAATGGAACACAACTTCATATTCCTCTGGCTGAACATAGTACAGAAAGAATCACACCGGTAATATAATCATACATGTATATAGGGTAATAATGTCCATCTCATTCCATCATCTTTCCCATTCCCACACCCTCTCACCTCCCCGAGTTTCCCTCTGCCCAATCCAAAGTTCCTTCATTCTTCCCTACCCACCCCCGCCCCCATTATGGATCAGTATCCACTGATCAGAGAAAACATTCAGCCTTTGGTTTTGGGGTTTGGCTTATTTCACTTAGCATGATATTCTCCAGCTCGATCCATGTACCTGCAAATGCCATAATTTCATCTGAAGCACATATTTTTAATTTGATTTGTGAACAACTCTCTTTATCCTCATGATTCCTGTGCTCACCCCAACCTGCCAGCCTTGCTTCCCCGCTTTTTTTTTCTTTTTGTCTAGAGTGTTTTTTCCACATCAAGTAAACAAGTATTATTTGGTCCAACATATCATAAATTCTGATTAAAGTCTTCTTGAGAAACCTATGCTACTAGATCACGTATATAATGTGAGAATATGCAAAGCAGACTCACGGTAAGCACCCCTGGTTGGGCATGGTTCCTTTAAGCTTCCCCCACAGAGCTGGGGTGAAGTGGCCACTGTTTCTCTTGGTTATTTTAGATTTGTTTAATAGGGAGGGAGGTCCACCTTTTGTCTTTGAGGACAAATAACATCCAAGAGTCATAATTAGCATCACATTCCTGATTTGACAAGATTACATGCTCCAGAAATTGGTGAAGTCCCAGTTAGTGAAGCTGCTTTGGGAAACCTGTATAAGAACAGTGAAGTGTTAACCAGGAGAAGCTGCCTGCCAAGCCTTGCCCTCTTATGAGGGCTCCTTCCTTACACCTGCTGCCTCCTCAGCAGGATTTATTTGCAAAGAATGAAAACAGTGAACAAAGCACAAAAACACCAGGAAGAAGCTCAAGACCCAATGCTGGTTCCTGCATCTGTTTGGTGGCCTGCTTTTTATCCCCTTGAGGGGAAGTACCTCTCCCAGGTGACCCAAGTAGGATTTTCTAAGAAAGTTGATCACACAGACATTTCAAATGGGAAATTCAATGGTTATGATATTTAAATGCAGACTTTTTAAGAGACTAAATTTTAAAATAACTCTAGGCTGGGAACACAGATTGTCAGCCCTAAGGTCACTGGATGATGTCAGTGTTCTGGGCAGTGCTGACCAAGTCTCTGTGAGCTTCAGAGAAATAGTGGAAGCACTGCGTCTGCCCTGTTGGTTGCTATAAAGCAGCATGGATCCACTGATTTACTTTTTCTTTTCTTTTTGTTTTTGTAAGGCTTACAAATGCTGACATCTTATACTACCCAATTGAGAACTGTGTCTCTGAGGAATTTAATTCCTTGATATTCCAACCATACAGGTGGTGAACATTATTAATCACTGTTAGAGAAGCCATCTCTCTAAGACGTTAACTGACTTACCCAATATTAGGAGGCTGGGAAGAAGCAGGATCTATCACTGGGTATTCAGACGTGGGATTCAGCATCTTTCAGAGCCATGCATATTGCATGTGATTACCAAACTGACTCAGCTGGGTAATGCTATATGTACAGGACCTAGACCAGAAACAGGTGCTTTATTTCCTCATGTTACCATTGGGGTTATCTTATTGTTATAATTCAGTGATTTTTTTTTTAAAGCCCTCTGACCTAACTGGTCTCTCTCAGAATTTTCCAGACTAAAATTACTGCCTCACCACAGGCATAAAAGCATTAGGTCAAAGACTGTAGACTGAAACTCCCCAAATTGTGAGCCAAATACACCTTTTCTCTTGTTATCTCAGTATTCTGTCACAGTGACAGAAAGCTAACACATTCACATGGGATAAAAAGAGGCCATTCTTCAATGTAATACCATTTTATTGGTCCATGCTCCAGCATTCTGAACTTGGTATAATTTCAATATGACATATAAGTTTTAATTTTCTACTCATGAGAATAAATATGTGCAGAAGTTCAGGGAATTAAGCCTGAAGTTCAGGAAACTGAAAATGACAGGTAAATATGTACAAATAATAAATATTCAAATAACAAATATTCAAATAATAAATATTTATTATTCAGTCCAATGAAAGTATTTTTGTTACAATTGGTTATAAAATTGTTAGAAAATACATAATTATACAAAGATTGAAATCAGAATCACCTAGAAATAGCCAGGTTTGGATGTTGGTATATATGTATCTTCCCAGTCTTCTTCTAACACACCTGGTTCATACTAACATCTAATCCACTTTTTTTCTTTTTCAGTACTGGGGATTGAATCTAGGACCTCACACATACTAGGCAAGCACTCAACCACTGAGTTATATCCCCAGCCCTAAACTGCTTTTTTAACTTGACTATCAAGTCATAAACATTTTGTCATCTTGGTATACTTTTTTCTGTAATATTATTTTCACAGTATGAAACATATCAAAGCATGGATCATAAACTCAATTAACCATTGATTTATATTTAAGACATTTTGTGGTTTTCATATAACAGTACTAGAATATCTTTGCTTATAATCTTTATGTAAATTCTTATAGGAAGAAGTATTATCAAAGGAAATCACACATTTTTTAAAGGCTTTTCATATATAATAAACACCAAACTGGACTCCAACAAGTGATATCAATTCACAATACCATCAGCAATGTCCAAGTGGGGTTAATTGATTTCTCTGTAATCTCAGGGTATTACCAGTTATAAAAAATGATTTTGTCTTAGTTGAACAATTGTATTTAGAAGCAGCTCTGAAAGTCCAAAAAATTTGAGCTTCCTTTCAGACTTTCCCTATCAGAATCCTTACAAAGTTCAGAATTAAAGAGTAATGTAAGCAAAATGATGGAGTTCTCAGCTTCTTTTCATGCCCACAGAATTTCTACCAGCAACTATTCAGTAGCAAGATTACCACCCTGAGTACTCCAGAACTCAGTGAAGCTGTGTTGCCCCTTGAATCACAGATATGAGAAAAACTGCAATCATATGTTAAGAGAAAGTTCTCTGTGAGGCTCCTCCCCATCAAGGCAATGGAGTGCCACCTGCAGCAAATTTCCCTGAATTGATGATTTCTACTGTAGAAAAAGTAAGCGGAAGATGGCATTTGTATTCCCCACCAATTACAAATGGTTAAGGGTTATGTAATATAAAAAGTTATAAATTGTGACATCAAAAATTCAAAATGTGCCAGACTCAGTGGTGCACACTTGTAATCCCAGCTACTCAGGAGGCTGAGGCAAGAAGATCACAAGCTTAAGGCCAGGCTGGACTACCTAGTGAAACCCAAAATAAATTTTTAAAAAAGGGTTGGAGTTGTAGTTCAGCAGTAAAGCACTTACCTAACATATGTGAGGCCTTTAGTATCACACACACAATAACAACAACAATAATAATGTGAGGATAAGAAGACTTAGATTTTTTAAAAGATTTTTTTAGTGACCAAAGTTCAGTTTAAAATAACCTTTTATAATTATTTGCAGCAACATGAATGAACCTGGAGAAGTTATGTGAAGTAAAATAAATCAGGCATGGAAAGACAAACATTGTATGATTTTGCTCATGTGATTCATATGTAGAATCGTAGAAGTAGAGAGTAGAATAGTGGTCACCAGGGGTTGTGTGGCTGTGGCGAAGGTAGGTATGTGGAAATACTGATCGAAGTATATCTAATTACAGTTAGAAAGGAGGAGCTTTAAAAAGATGTCCAGAAAAGACAAATATACAGAGGCAGAAAAGTAGACAACTGGGTTGCCTGCAAGGAAAAGTGGAGCAGGGGTTGGAAACGGGAATGACTGAGTGGTTTGGGATTTTCCTTATTGGGTAATGACAAAGTTCTAAAATTGTGGTGGTGGCTGCACAAGGCCTGTGAACAAACTAAACCCACCAGATTGAATATTTTAATGGATTAACTGTATGATCAGTGATTTTCAATAAAGGTTTTAAAATAAAAATGCATAGAATTGTATCTCTCTTCAAAAAGATGAATACTCTATCCATTTGGCAGAATATACCAAGAATATGAACATCATTAAGACATTTCACTGAGACAGAACCAGAGTTCCTGCTCCAGAACTAATGCTCATGCCACTTTTCAGGGCAAGAGCAGGGTCCTTTGTGCTAGGGAAGCATTATCCAATAAACTATATCTGAGACCTGATGGGTAAGCAATTCCCTGCTGAACTAAGGAAAGGCTGCTGAAAGATGGCAAGGCCACTTGGATGTGAGCTTGAGTACCTGGATTAGAAATTTTTATGTCTCCCTGACCTACTCAGGATGGTCTCAAAACTCAGTTCAAGATGTGGCTATCAGTTGCACATGGTGATGCACCCTGTAATTCCAGCAACTCAGGAAGCTGAGGCAGGAGCATTAAATGTCTGAAGCCAGCCTCAGTTAACTTAGGGATACCCCAGTAACTTAGCAAGATGCTGTCTCAAAATAAAAAAATAAAATCCACTGAGGATGTAACTCAGTGGTAAAGTGCCCCTAAGTTCAATGCCCAGTTCAACAACAACAAAAGATGGGGCTACCAAAGATAAGCTGGACTCTGAGCCCATGCAGGCAAGGCAAGAGGATGCCCTACTGGCTCTGACATTTAGCACAGTGCTCCTCAAACCTAAATTCTTACACATGCACAGCCAGTAAAAGTGTGTTTCCAAAATCCAGAAGTTATCTTTGGTCCTCTAAATGAACTAAGTTGCTATTTCTTGTTTACATAATCTTATCTTGGCACACTGTTCAATAAAGCAACCCCATACACTTCCTAAGTTTGTGGTTTTCTACTAGTTCCCTCCCTCATCGTATAGGTCTGTGAGATGCAAAGAGTAGGAGTCTTGATGAACAAAACAAAGCAAGTTGTGACAAAAAAATCAGAAAGACTGTAGCCTCCACACTGCCAATGAGGACTTCTTTAGCCACATTCCAAGGACAGGAAATCCTGAACTATCCATAAAATCATACAGTTCAGATACACTGATAATAAATGTTATACAACTGGTAAGTCATAACACATTTTCACAAACATAATTTTTTATAAAATAATTTTCAGATATAATTCTATTTTGCATCATGATTTTTAGGTTTTATGACTATAGTGGGAATTGATTTTATTACAAGCCAAGAAGGGAGACAGCATTTCAAAACTAAAATGTCTGATTTTAAAACGTTAGCCTCACAAAATAGAACATCCTACTGAAACTAACATTACTAAAAACCAGAAAAGTCATTCACATACATTGGTTTTATCAAATAATAAAGCCAAAAGAGATTTTCATTTTTGCTGATGTTTATCCTAAACAAAATAGGTCTTGACTTTGTAATGAGACATTACAATACTCTATGTATTATGTCCCCCTCCATAGGTCACATGAGATTTAATTAAAATAGGAAATATGATGAAATGTACTTCAGGGAGAATGAGGAAGCACATCCATCACAACTGCATCAGCTTTGATACATAAACGGAAACAAGGTCTCATCATTTAACACAAAAGCTAACTTAGAAATTCCTTTTTTTTCTACTCTAAATGCAAATTCTTCTCAAAATGAAAGATCTGATATACCACAGAGGAAAAAAAAACACTATAAAGAATTATAAACCAAAGGACTGGGGATGTAGCTCAGTGTAGCACATGCAAGGCCCTTGGTTCAACTCCTGGCACTGCAAAAAACAACTTAAGAGCAAAATTGGCCCCAGGGAGACAGTGAGAACAGCAGAAGGAAGGGAAAGCTTGCAGCTGAGAACCATGTTGTCTGGGCCAGCTTTCAGGGAGCAGAGAGGCAAGTGGGCTCGAGTTCTTTGAAAGTTGGACAGAGGGTCCTATGCTGCAGTTATTGAGCACTAAATAACCACAGGTGCTGTGGGGGACGGAAGGACCATCTTTTCTATCACTGGGCTCTTGGGGATGGGAGCAAGGAGAGAGAAACATGCTAAAATTTGAGAGTGGCCAACAGTGTGCTGAACTAGAGGTTGTACTTGGAGGAAAACTCCAAACTCCGTGGGCAACACTCTTATGAATTCTATGACACTGATTCCACATGTGTGAGGATTTTCATAACTTCAATGAGAAACTGCTGTTTAAAGAGGAGAGGGCCAGGTGTAGCTCAGCAGTAGAGTGCTAGGGTCCATTCCCAGCACCACAAAATAAATAAAAACTGGATAAATTTTAGCTCTTCTTCTCAATGTCTTAAAAGCAAATAAAAAAAATTAAAAAACAAAACAGACATAAATAATATAAAGTAATATGCTTATCCAACTATGTTGCACTGATTTCATTTTTAGTTAAAATATTATAGAGGAAGAATAAGCATGGTGTGGAGATTTGTGGTGTTGTCAGGACAGACAAGTGACTCAGAACACATTGCCCCACTGCCTCTCCCATCAGGACAAAGGCCTCTGGGCATTCAAATCTGGCAAGGTAGCGCTAGGACAATGCTGGGATGAAATACTGTAGGGAGACGTCTTCATGAAGCAAATCAAAATGAACAATCCTATTATTCACAATATCTGGGGAGAAAAGAGCCACTATTTTAAAGACTCATCACAAAACACACATGCCCCCCATCAGAGCAGTTTTTCCACACTGAACACCTCCTATGGAAGGTCTCTATCTTCTTAGCAGGTCCCTGAAGAGGTCACAACACAGGCAACTGTCATCTCTCAGGGGAAAAAAATGAGAAAAGAACACAGCTTCCCAGGTCTTAGGTTCAAACCCAAAAGGCAGGTTTCCCAGTAAACCACACAGAGTCAATCACATCCTTCCATGGAAAAGCTGCTGCCCACCAGTGAGTGACACAATGTAGAGAAGGTCCAAGTGCCCACATTCCCCTTACACTGGGCAAACTGTACTACATACTCCATCTGCCACCTTTCCTGAGTACCTGACGCCACCACCCCTTCCAGAGTCCCTCCCTCCTCTCTATTCTTAGTGCTTTCTCTGTGTCTCTCTTTGACAGAGTCACCCAGAATTTTCTATTTTTTCTCTACAGTGTAGTGAAGATCCAAATGTTCTAAGGTACTGTTCTGGGCCATTCTCCTCAGCTTTATCCACTAGTGTCTGAAGGGTAAGCCTTAGAGCTATTCCACAAAAGGAGCTTCATATCCAGGCCACAATTTCTTTCAGATTGCTGCAAGGAGGCAGAAAACACTCTGAGAAGCCCTTGACAAGAATGTCCTGCCTACATGTGGCCAGTAGATAAGGAGAGCCAGGGTAGGTGTGTGACCTCAGAGTCGGGATTAAGCCAGAATTGAGAGATAATCAGTAATAACCAGCATCTGAGAAGGAGATTCTGGTGGTGAGCACAGGTAAGGTGGACAAAAAAAGGAAGCAAAACACTGTGAATGATAATTCAGATCCAAGCACGGCATACAGGGGACTCTGAATGTGTAAAATCTGAGGAACCTGGTGAACAGAAGCCATCTGTGTGGTCCTCCTGACAGTGTCTCTGCAAGAATGACCTGCTGCGTGGTGGCTGCATGAGGCAGGCCACATGCCTACCCAGTGTGTCTGTAGGCTTTCCTCTAGATGCTTCTAAATCCAGCCAAATTTTAAGAACTTGACTATCCTAGAAAGCTTAAGTCCATATACTTGAGATCATTTTGCATTTATAAGATGGCATGCAATCTGTTGGACTAGAGTGACTAAACTGCCTAAGATAAAAACAAAAAGCAAAAAACAAACAAAAAAAAACCCAAAAACAAAAAACAGAGAAGCAAACTCACTGCATATGGCCTTTGTAGGATTCACCTGCTGTCCAGCAAGAAATTGGAGGAGCTTCTTGATATCTATGTGCACCTCAGCCATCTCTTCTGGGTTTCTGTTCTGAGAAGTATTTTCAGAGGCTAAAATGACACAAATGTTTTAAAGTATAACATCCTTGGAAGTAACAGAATCCAGAAATATGCAAAACATGCTTACTTAGATAAATGTTTCACCTTACAATTGATTTTAGTACCCTGGAGAAATATAACAACTTGTAAATGTTGTCACTCATTGCATGAGTATTTATTTGGTCCTAACTATTTAAAATACTGTAATAAGCCGAATACAGTGGTGCACACCTGAAATCCCAGCAGCTCAGGAGGCTGATTCAGGAGGATTTCAAGTTCAGAGCCGGCCTCAGCAATTTAGTGAGTTCCTGAGCAACTCAGTGAGACCCTATGTTCTCTAAATATAAAAAGGGCTGGGGATATGGCTCAATACTTATGTGCCTCTGGGTTCAATACCTGGAACCAATAAATAAATAAATAGTACTGTGATAATTTCCAGGGCATCTTCATTTACAAGAACTTGAAATATGGTTCAACCTCCCCTTTATGTGAAAGAAAATTATATTTGATATTCACTGTTTATTTATTTTTGGTATTGTGTACTGAACCCAGGATCTCTTGCATGAGCCCTTTCCCACTGAGCCACTTCTCCATCTCCTTCTCTTTAGAAAATTCATCTTATTATATTTTGAGAAGGAGTCTTGCTAAGTTACCCAGGCTGACCTTGAACTTGTTGATCCTCCTGCCTCAGTCTTCTGAATACCTTGGATTACAGGTATGCACCACCACACTTAGCTCCTTACTATGTATTTAAAAGCTGAAATGTAGATAGCTAATACAAAACCTCTTATTCTAAAGTAGAATGCAATAAAAGAGTCTTTCAACTTCTGGGAAAGTACCAAAAGTAGTTCTGTTTTGTATTTATTAAAATAAACAAAACAGCCAGGTGTGGTGGTGCTCATCTGTAAACCCAGAGTCCCTAAGGCAGGAGGATCACAAGTTCAAAGCCAGTCTCAACAACATAGCGAGACCTTTACCAACTTAGTGAGACTCTGTCTCAAAATAAAAAATAAAAAAGGGTTTGGAATGTGACTCAATGGTTAAGTTTAAGCCCCTGGCTTTAATCCCTTGTACTAAAAAATAAAAAATAAATAAAATAAATAATGCCAAAATAAGTTATTCCATGCAGTACTGTTCAACTTTAATCATACAGATTTTACTCTGCTAGAGTAGTATACACTCCACTACAAAGTAAAAATCCTTTGCAGTGTTATGCTAAAATTGCTTATCTATGTATAGATAAGCAAATGTAGTAATAAATTTTAATTTAAAAGGTGACTGGGAACTATTTCACCTGTTTCCAAATAAATATATATGTCAGGAAATAATTTCACATTGTTTGCAGATACTTTTTCTTTGGTCTTTTGCTTATCTGCTTGAGCCACATGTGCCAGCTCCTCTGGCCTCACTGCTCAGCATGCTGTTCAATCTCCTCCTTCACTGCTTGCTGAACCAACTCCACAGTCCTTCATTACCTGACTAAGTATATCTGTATCACATTTTATATCTGCTAATCTAATTTTATAAATATTGACGTGACTAAAGAAGGAGAAAATAAGAAATGTACCTGCCTTTCTGAGCATATTCCAGGATGGAAACTGAAATCTCTCAGAGCAGAATGGACTGACAAGCTAGAAAGGATCTTGGAGCCCATTTAGTATGATCTGAGTTCTAGAGAGGTGGAAGAATACCCTGTGCAGTTCCCTCAGCTGCCTGGTGTCTTAGCCCCTTCCCGCAATGGCTAATGTCCCACTACAGGGTAGGAACAGATAGTCCAAGCAGGAAATGCTTGGACTTCTCAAGCATGAAATTGAATAAACTGAATTTCAACTTTTCTGCATTGAGACCTCAAAGCACATGTTACCTGAAATAACTTATCAACAGAAAAATATAATCCACAAGAAAACTTACCTAATGGAGGATTTCCAAGATCTTTAAAATGAGTTGTAATACATACTAATTCAGTTTCTATCTTCAAGTTCAAATCTCCATTTAGGTTTGCTTCAATAATCTACAAATTGAATAATGTAAAATTGTCTTAAAAAGACAAAGAAGGCAAAAGAAAAGAACCCCACGGATATTAGCTTCCACAAAGTCAGGTGACCAGGCAACCCGTTAAACCTCAGAATACCTCAGGCACTTAGATCATGGTGATGTCAAGGACAAGAGAGGAGATAAGTCCTCAGAGCCCAGAACTCAGATATTCCCCTAAGACACCAAAAGAAAGGTTCCCTTAGTGGAGAACTCAGTGGGAGACATGAAAATAGGGGTAGTGGGAGGGGCCTTGCTAGAAACAATGGCTAGGGGACCTGGCTCTGGAAGCCTGGGCAGAGGGCTCCCTTACAGGATAAGGAAGCCCTACACTGAAAAGGAGCAGAGAAAAGTAAAAACACAATTAACAGGAGGCACACTCTTGGAAGTAAAGTGAAGGAAGGTTTTATAAGGGGAGGAAAAGAGGGACAAGTCTCAGAAAGTCCTAGAGAGATGGTCCCAGTCTGTATGCCTTAATATTTAAGAAGCTGTGAAGTTAGAAAACTGTCTTCATTCACACATCTACAATGAAACTTCTTAAAAGAACCAAAAACACAACAACAACTTTTTATTGTTTGGTGACAACAACAATAAGAGTTGTCGAGGATGTGGGGAAAAGGGTACACTCATACATTGCTGGTGGGACTGCAAATTGGTGCAGCCAATATTGAAAGCAGTATGCAGATTCCTTGGACAACTGGGAATGGAACTACCATTTGACCCAGCTATCTCTCCCCTTGGTCTATACCCAAAGGACTTAAAAACAGCATACTACAGGACACAGCCACATCAATGTTTATAGCAGCACAATTCACAATAGCTGAATAGTAGAATGGATTTTTAAAATGTGGCATATATACACAATGGAATGTTACTCAGCAATAAGAGAGAATAAAATCATGGCATTTGCAGGTAAATAGATGGAGTTGGAGAGGATAATGCTAAGTGAAGTCAGCCAACACCAAAAAAACAAATGCTGAATGTTATCTCTGATATAAGGAGACTGATTCATAGTGGGGTAGTGGGAGGAGCATGGGAGGAATAGATGAACTCTAGATACGGCAGATGGGTGGGAGGGGAAGGGAGCATGGGATTGGCAATGATGGTGGAATGTGATGGACATCATTATCCAAAGTACATGTATGAAGACATGAATTGGTGTGAATATACTGTATATACAATTTCTATTACAATTGTATATTATAATTTCTATTACACATTTAGAGCACAATTTTTCATAAGCCAGAGATATAAAAAATTGTGCTCTAAATGTGTAATAGAAATTGTAATGCATTCCACTGTCATTTATTTTAAAAAATCAATAAAAAATTCAGACTGTGACTGAATTCTATATATATTCAAAGAAAAAAGAGAAACAGAAATAATAATACCCAAATAGCATATGAAAAGACCTGAAAATACTCCACAAGCAAATGCAGAAAATGAACTTGAATAAACAAACAATAGAAGCAAGGAAAGAATAGCAGTAAATCAGAATTAGGGAAGATTAGAAATGACAAGACCACATAGCAAATCCATTAAAAAAAAAAAAAAAAGAGCTGGCAGAGCTCAGGAAATGGTTAGAAATATAAGACAATTTCCAAAAGTAAACTAAACTTGAAGAAAGAGAAGAACAAATAAGCACCAAAGATCACAGTAAGTAAAGCTGTAATAGAAAGGTAAAAATGTAAAAATTACCAAAGAGAAATAAAGGGCTAAAAAGAATCTGAAAGAAAATAGATATGGAAGTGAAGAAGATCCAAGTCCAATGAGTCCCAGAAGAAGAAAATCAAAGGATTGGGTACAAAGAAATGCTAGCTAGCACAGTGGTGCACTCCTGTAATCCCAGCAGCTCTGGAGGCTGAGGCAGGGGGGTTGTGATTTCAAAGCCAGCCTCAGCAATTTAGTGAGGCGCTATACAATTCACCGAGACCCTGACTCTAAATAAAATATAAAAAGGGCTGGGATGTGGCTCAGTGGTTAAACATCCCTAGGTTCAATCCAAAAAAAAAAAAAAAAAGGGCTAACAGTCATAGTTTAAAATGTTCCTGACGTGAAGGAAGGCTGGCTAACACACAGAAGGTATACTCCCTAAACCTGGTAAAGTGGACCAGGTGTCAAGACAATGGGATTCAAAGAAAATAAAAGCAACACACACATAAAAAACAAAACAAACTCTGGGGTATTCATGTCCCCTCACCTCAAATTAATAATCCAACTTATTAAAAAATGAAACAAAATCAGAATGACATCAGTCTCTCTGACAGCAGCATTATATAACAAAGACAATAAAGTACAGTGAGCCAACAAGTGACAAATGAACATCATGAACAAAATGACATCATGAACATGCGCCAGCTAATGAAATTCTTCGGCCTTCAAGTCCTTCCAGAATGAGATGCTAGAGAATAAGCTTCAGATAACAAAAAATTATTGCAGTTACAACACAAAGACAGATATGGCTGCTTTTATCTGTAAAGCCAAAATTAATAATAAGGGAAGATAATAAGGTACAATAATTGTACTCTATGACAATGTGGACCTAAACACAATTATTAAAAAGCAGGAGCAGGGAGACTGGGAAGGGAACATAGAAATTAGTGCCTTATTTCTATAAATGGACCAAACTATCTGGCATAATTACAAATTTAGTATGACCATAGAGACATTCAGAGTTTTATGAGAATAATTTATCCTGAAAATACTTTAGATGTTGGCAAATGAGATTTCCAGATTCAAAAAGGTAGGGGGCTGCTGTCATGTAACGAGAACTGAGCAAGACACAATGTTGCTGGTGGCTAGTCTCTGCACCCATAGCACAGCTTGGGGAGAGGACTAAGACCTTTGTCCCTCCCTTCTCCTCTATCACAGGCCTCTCTGCAACTTCTGCTCTTTTTCCCCTGCTTTGGTACCAAGGACTGAACCCACGGGTACTTAAACATGGAGCTACATCCCCAGCCCTTTTTATATTTTATTTTCAGACAGAATCCCACCAAGTTGCTCAGGAGCTCGTTAGATTGCTGAGGCTGGCTTTGAATTTGCGATTCTCCTATCCAGCCTCCTGAGCCTCTGGGATTATAGGCACACCCAGCTCACTCCTGCTCTTCCCATCCTGGGACTGGCCATAAAGGTCACAGGGGGTTCCTTTCCTTTCAAGTTCTTCCCTTCACTCCACCAACTTACTGGTTATTGTAACTGAAGTGAAATACACGCACAATGTGCATTGAGTCTTGCTAACCTGCTCATAGAACACTGTCTTTCGTTTTCTTTTTTTGGTACTGGAGATTGAACCCAGGGATGCTACATCCTGAGCCCCTTTTGAGATAGGGTTCTCACTAAGTTGCTAAGGGCCTTGCTAAATTGCTGAGGCTGGCCTCAAATTCCTGCCTCAGTCTCCTGAGGCACTGGGATTACAGGTATGCACCACCATGACCACAGGGACACTGTATTTCTATTTTGGATGTTGGCATCTGCCTATTGTTAAAGCCTGTATAGAGTTTGCTGTCAGCACTCTGCCAACCAGTAGTGAAATGTGCCAGCTAAACTAGAGTTTAGTGAGTACAGGCCTTTGATTTAGTAGGCCCCACACATCCTTGAAAGTACTATTGGGAGAGGGGCAGAGAGATCTTTGGAGGAGCGGAAGAGTACCCTTTTGCACAACTCTGCTAGAGCACCCATGTTTAGGGAATATCACTTAGTGTTTCTCATTCTCATGCCTTAAAACTGCCAAAATCTAAATCATTCAGATTCCAGAAACAAAAAGGTTTTATGAACTTGAGTGAAATCTTATTTCGGAGCTTTTGACATAAGAATAAGTCCCCCTTAAACTCACTTTTTGTATAATCTTGTAAATTTACTTTTGAATAAAAAACATTCATCGTAAGTCTTTCATTAGCACAGAAATATATTGGTATATTTATTAACCTACTGTCCTCTAATCTGGAACAATATTTTATTAAAATAAAATAAATAAAACCATCCTTGTGAATGTTCTGAATCACTCAGTGGGGCTCTTTAGAGCAAGCACATGACATATACCTATTTGTTTCAAACAACCACATACCGGAGATCTGTAAATTCCCATTGCTTTTGAAGGAGAGTGGTTTTAGAAACAAATTCTTGGTCAAAAAACAACTTGCATTGGTTCTTAATTACATTCAGGCTCTTATGCTTTTTTCCAATTCCTAAAATATTTGTAATGGAACATTAGATTCAAATTTATTTCTGATCCCACCCAGTCTGGCACATGGTAGCATTCAATTAACACTCTGAAGGAATTAACAGCCAATTCTCTGAACATCAATCACTGATTTTTATGATTCAGTTATCTGAACTACTATGTGCATCAACATAATCAATTTCTTAATTATGAGGACAGGATCTTACTTCTTTCAATGATTTCCTTAATAATTGTTACCTTCCATTCATTGAACGCCAATGAACTATACTGGGCACCTACTACAAATTATTATCTCTCAATTTATAATAAGTGACAAAATCCATTATAGCTCTACTATTGTCCAATTTAGGGTAATAATACTCTGCACTAAGGTTCACAATGCCACCCCTCCTCCACCACATATCACTGTGCTTCCTACCCTTAAGTCATGTTCTCTTATTGTAATCATTAAGCTGATCTTGTGAAGGCCCTTTCTCTCAAATGACCTATAGCATGGCATGCATCACTAAACATTGCTGCTGGGAGTGATTCAAAGACAGACAGCATCAGCACCGTGAGCTGGTCAGAAGTGCAGAGCCTTGCCCAAGCCCATTCCTCCCAAATTCAAACCAGATTCTAACCAGATCTCAGGGATTCTTGTGCACAGGTGGCTTAGAAGCAATGTGTCAGAAGATGGCATGGACTCCTGGTGATATTTGCTCCTTTTTCTACGTAACTCACATATACAACCCAATCCTATCAGCCTTCTTGCCTTAAATGAAGGAAGGTAGGGATCAAGCATCTCTTAGGGGAGGGTAGACAATTTTAGTGTGTTGAATCTCACTCATTTTCCTTAATTCTACTACCTATTATTTTCAGACACAGACTTCTGGTTATCCAGGTTAATCTCATTAAGCACTCAGCTAATCTAACTTGGTAAGCTTCCATTTAGCAATTTCACATTATAATAGTCACTCCAAAAAAACTTGTAGACATTTTTAAACACTCCTGAAAAAAAAAACTAACATCTCTGGTTTTACCTAAGCCACTTTCCACCTCTGTATTTTGCTGACTCATTTCCATGGAACAGAAAGAACAAATATGCCCTTCCGATAATTGCCACATCTTCTCCCCTGGGTCTCTCTGAAACTCTCTGGAAATCCCAGGAGATCCTAGAGAAACCCAGCCTGACATCTGGATCAGCACCATGGTGGACACCACTGTAAGCACAATGCATTGCTTCATGGGAAACAGATTTTAGCCACAAATGGGTTCTGTGAATATTAAATTACATGAGAAAGCTTTCAGCTGGATAAGCCTAATGTCAGCACTGTTTTTAAGTGAGCAGATAAAACGACCCATGAACATTTTCTAGGCTTCAAAAGAAACTTTTCTTTTTTTAAAATTCCAAGCTAAATTTCATACCAGATCCATGCAGCAATACTAATTACTGCACACCAAGTGACAATCGTACCCTGGGTCCTGGAACACAGAATTAGACAGGCTCTCTTCTTTCTAGAAGACGGCAGTTGAAGTTCTGATACTGGCAGGTTTATGGTGTACACTGAAGAAAGGAGTTCAGTGGAGGAGGGGCTTTCTGCCAGACTGTGGGAAAGGGTCTGGGGTGAACAGTGAGAATGTTTAAGCTTCCCAGGAGATGACAGACATAAGAAACTGAGGGTGAAATGGCTAAGAAACAAAACCCAAAAAGAAGAGAGGAACTGTTAGATGTGGTAGAGCCCAGTGTGGACCTATAGCCCACAGAACCCACAGAACCCACAGAACCCAGTGTAGCCTGGTCCCATAGAGATATAGAGATATGGCCCAGCCACATCTCCATGTGACTGGGAAGATCAGAGGTTAAAGTTTATAAAGTGAAATGTGGCTTTTAAAGATAGAAGGATATAAATGTGTTGGTTTTTTTTTTTTTCCTTTTTTGGGGGTGGGGATGTGAAAGTAAAATTCAGGATAAGCCCTGCTGTGTAGGAGGACAATCCACACAATTCTTCATCACTGCCGCATATTGTAGTATTTTGAGCATGGCAGAAGGAGACCTTCACAGAATAAATAGAAAAATATAAGCATCCATTGGTTTGGTGTGAGATCTTTTGGAATTAAAAAACTGCTGAGGTGTGAGGGATCTTTATGGTTTACTGAAAGACATTTGGCAAGCAGATAGAACATTTTACACTGTCAACGGAATCCATGATTCATTTTTAAAAACATATACACATTAGCAGATAAAAGATGGAAGTTGCTCTCTAAAATAAAGAAAAAGAAGCAGAACTGTTAAACATATTCATAATAAACTATACCCATAGACATGAGGGATTAAGAATAAATAGAAAGCCTTCCCCAGTGAATGACAGTTGAAACGCACTAGAAGAGGTTTCTAAAGGCAACTGTAAAACTGCTTGCTCTTAGCACCAGGCGAGGCCTCACAAGGATTTTAGTGAGAAGCCTCAGAAGTCTCATAGTGGCACAGGAGCACCATACCCAGGTCCATGGTAGGCTGTCCTCCCAAAAGAAGGCTAACATTATAGAAAAAAAAAAAGTTATTACTTACAAGATGATTGCTGATGTTTTTCATTTTTTCTACAACACTCCTCATAGTCTTCAAGACTGGCAAATAAATACTCACCTACAAAACCAATAAGAGCAATCACAAGTATAAAAAAAATTAATACATTCTAGTTACAAAAAGTTACTCAATAACTAATTTGGGATTGCACACATGCTTAAGAACTCTGAATTCCTGGTTTTTAATTTTCTGAATAGAGTTCTTTTTTAAATACCAAAAGGAAAACAACTGTATAATTTCATTAACTCACAGGCATTTGAGTAAAATTAAAGAAATGAATGCCTGCCTCTGGTTACCTCAGCGACTACATCCCTATGGGCATTCCTTTGGTTTGAGGACCAGAGTGCCACAACTGAGATGCCTGTATATGAGCCCAAGGGAATAAAATTCAAGCACTGAGCAGAAGACTTGCCCTGAGGGATGTACACAGCCAGGTCTCAGGGGCCTTTTGTGCACTCTGCACAAAAATACAGTGCAGCAGCCACTGCTTCTCACCTGGGGCTGTCATTAGCAGTGCTTTACAACAGGTTGGCTTTTTCCTAGTTTGTGTAGTTGTTTCCTAGTGAAAAAACAAGTACATGTTCTATCCAGTATAATTATAATTTCCAGTATATGTTTGTAATTGTGAGCAAAAAGCAAAGGACTCTTTGGCTTCATCATTATTTTCAGTAGCTCCAGGGTTCCCATCAAGTTCCAGGTCATGCAAATGTCTATCCTTGTGGCTTTTTAACACATATTTGGCCCTCAAGTCCTGTAAAACTCAACTTGGTGCCTAAGACCAAGAATTCTAATAAATATAAATTATCTGAGCAAGATATTCTACCTCTTATATGTAGAGAGGATGGCATTTCTATAATATGCAACAGTGATTTAAGATGGCTTAAATAAATCAAAGAAAACATTCTAATTTTTTTTTCCTTTAAAAATAAATAATACCACTTTCATTTCAAGTACTACACAACCTTCAAATAAAATGTACTGCAAGACAATTAAAATTAAAAGAATTCATTCACACACACACACACACACACCCTTTAATATGCAATGAGCAACAAGACTGCAGGCCTCACTCACATCAGAATCTGGGACTGAGGGTTCTCGTAAGTCCTTCCACAATCTTCTAGGAATAATCGTTATGGGGATGTCATGGGTCACAATGCGACTACTGCTTGACACAGATAACTGCCAAGAAAAGAATTCAAAATATATTTTAAGTTGTCAATATTAAAAACAGAATCAAAAGCAAAGGATTAAGCATAAGAAAACTGAAAATATCAAATCTAAGTGGAATGTTCTCAATTCACTCACTTAAAATCCATTCAACCTTTACTGGCATTATCAGTTCTGCTCTGGGTTCTAGGAGTAACTGGCAAATGTGGTGAACAAACAACAGGTTCCCTGATGCTCCAGTGGAATGAATGGATCAATAAGAAAAAAAAACAAAAACAATATCATAAGAGATACTCATTAAAGCCTTCAAGAAAACAGAGCAATGACCAGGCTAAGCATGAAGGAGGTTCCTAGACTGGGGAGCCCACGTAGGCCTCTCTTAGGAGGTGATGTTTCAGATGATACAAAAACTAAAGGAAGATGACTATGGGAAGATGGGGATGAGGAGGCACGGTTTCAGGCACAGAACAAAATACCTAGTTCTGAGACAGAAACAAGCAAGCTTACTATGTTGAAGCAACCCAGAGACCATTCTTTGAGCACAGGATGTTCAGAGTGCTGCAGTTTCTACACTGCTAAAAGAATAAACTATGTTTATTTCTAGGGGCTTTTGTGAGACTCAGATAAAAGTATCTTGCATTTTGAAATAGAAAAACTATTGTATTTTATTACCCAGCTTTCCCTTAAGAAGTGGAAGAAAACTCCATACTTAATATTGTGACATGGAATATACTGATGAGCTCTAAGATCTGCCTAACTGCAAAGAGCTGAGAAACAGTTAATTAAAAAAAAAAAAAATTTCTTCCATAGAACATTTGAAACTGTAAATAATACTCATATAGATTACTAAGCACAAACAAAACAAGGAGAGAACTGGAAGGACAAGGGAGACTGTGGAGGAGGCAGTACTGATGCTGAGTGCTAAAGAAAGAAAAAGTTTAAGAGAGGAGAAAGACTCCAAGTAGAAGGGCCAATGTCGCCGTTCTGTGAGTTAGGAATGAACTGGACACATCCAGAGAACCAGAGGGTGGTAATTTGGAATATAGTTCCAAGATAGCTTGGGCTATATGTCAAAAGCTTTGAATATCATGTTAAGAAACCAAACTTCATCATGTGTGTGTTCTGATAACTATGCACTAAACTCATCTGGCAGTATGTGAGACAGTATGTTTACTAAAGAATGACTATTACTGAAAGTTACTACAACAAAGGTGGTGATGGGGGAGGAGAGCACACCAAAGGTGAAAATGAATAAAAATCATGATTTCTAGAGTAGCTAATGATACCACTAAAAGAAACAAGAGATGTGGAAGTTTCACTGTTTGGAAAAGGCAGCATCCTAGTTGAATACTGTGTGATCAGAACATTAACATAACAAAGAACTGAGTATAAGTGAGAAAAAAAAATAGGTATGCAACAGATCTTTATAAATCAATTATCTTTCAACCATACTATTTATAACCCACTTGAATCAAATGTATAAAATATGATATGTCAAGAGCTTTGTAATGTTTTGAACAACCAATTAAAAAAAAAAGAAAAAGAAAAAGAAAAGCCTGGGTTTTTAACTACTTGTATCCTTTAAGGGACAAGATCTTTGTGGAAAGCTTGTGAAACCCTGTTCTTCCTACTCACCAGCTCTACAGAGATTGTGAGGCAGGGAAAGTGTTTATTAGTCAGCTTGATTTTCAAGGATCTGGCATTCTGGGTAGTTTTCAAAGCTCGAGATAAGTTTTCCGATGTTAGCTCTAAATAAATCTCATTGTTTTCTGCCGAAACACCCTCCATTTGAAATTCGCTGAAAAAGTTCTCCTAAGGAAAGAAAATGGGTATTTGTGGGTTTTCCAATGGCATTAGGTGAAGTCTGGGGCCTTTTGGGAACTTCTGCTTACCTGCTCCAGCTCACACCACATGCTCACCCCTCCACTGGCCAGTTTATCAGAAAGGATGAAGTTCAGCTTATTGGGGCTGATTCGGAGGGTGCAGGTTTTCGCAAGCTTGGCTATCATGTTACTGACTCCTGTGACAGGGAATAAAGTAAGGTGTAACTAAGACACACATCATGTTTCCTAGAAGTCACCTAGCCTTGCAGAACTTCTAGTTCATCGAAGTGCAAATTGCAGGCGGAAAAAACAGTGTATGTTGGGATCACGATGGAAAATATTTCAGTACCACGCATGTCATGCCAGTCTTACAATAACCCGGCAAGGCTTGCAGCACACACCACTCACGTTCAATACGGAAACTAAGGTTCGGAGGCTCATTGGCACGGAAGGGCCATTCATACATGCAACACAAACTTATGGACCGCCGGGTGCTGCAGCACACAGTTCAAAGCAATGTTGGCCACAGTCGGGTGGAAGGAGGAATGGGGCCTAACGCAAAGGGATGTCTATGCCAGACGTCGATGGGAGCAGTAGTACAAAAGAAGGACCATGTGATCAGAAATAGGTCTTGTAACTGTCCTTCTTCCCACAGTACCCGCCTGCAATCCACGGCCAACGTCCAGCACTCCGAGCCCCACCCCCAACGTCCCTCAAGGCTGCTGCTCGCCAAGTCGGCCTACTTCCGGTTCTCCCCGACTCCCCGCAGCCCTCCCAGCTCACGCGTGAACTGATTCAGGCAGGCAGCGTCCACGATTTTGGCACGAAACTTCATTGCCGCACCAAGCCCTGGCGGGGGCGTCTGACGGGCGACGGATACGTGTCCCTCCCGGAGCCTTCCTTCTCGGAAACGCGGCGGCGCTCACAGAGGTTCCGCGGAGAGCCGTTCCGCGAATTTTGCCGAGTCATGCTCCGGGCGAAACTGGGTTCCTAGTCCCCTGACCTCCATTCCCATCCCCACTCCACCTACAAAAAAAGGTCTGCCTTTTGTCTTTTTTGCGGTGCTGAACTGCATAGAGTATTCTATGCTCCTATTTGCAAAGGACTTTTAAAAAAAATATCTTGGGTTGGGGATGTACCACTTGCCTAGCCTGTAGGAGGCCTGGCAGGTTTCATCCCCAGCATAAAAAGAAAAGAAAATCTTTACATAGATAATCAATAAAGTTTGATTATCTATCAAAATTTATTGGATGCAATTTTTCCGTTACCCCTTTAAAATTCCTCTTATAAAAAATTCTAACACTTAAAAGAACTTTTTTTCGAATTTGGTGAAGTTCCTATTGAGAAAAAGATGCAGAATTATCATTTAACATCATTGTTCTTTAACCATCCTGTCTTTAACAACTATTCAGTATTATATTTGAAATTATAAATATTTAAAACAATTTTCAAAACCTTAAGATACCAGTCTGCAGAGATAACAGTACTATCAGATTGGAAAGGATTTAAAGCTGCCTTAAAAAAGTTGTATCTAAAATATACTTTATTTAATTCTTAAAGTTTGCTTTTATTCAAGTATTTTAACACAAAACTTGAGCTAGGTGTCAAAGTTTTCTCAAAATGTGAATTCTTAGAAACATTTCCCCACACCTGGGGATAGGAAACTCCCGAGTCACTAAATGTCCTAAATTTCTATTTGTAAAGGACTTCAAGCACTCAACAAAATGTGCTTTTAAAAGATAACTTACAAATTAATTTGAAATAAAAACTATCACTTATGAAATAATGTGATTGCTAAGTAGAGCACAGATATGATTAAGTCAGCTTTATAAGTAATGTTTCATTGCATCTGAACTTTATGTAAAATGGCTTATTATTATGCCATAAAAATAAGACATTTTTTAAACTTCCTAAAAGGTATCTGATTATGCATTCTTTATTGCCAAAACCCAAATAATATAGAATTTTTTACTCAATGAGTTTAAAATTGGGCTATATATTTTTTTCCATTAGGGAAAAAAAAGGGGGGCATCTTCTGTATGCTCTTGCAGTTTTCTTAACTAAATAAGTTTAGCAAATTAATTCAACATGGACACTGCTTTCCTATTTTCTTTCCAAATGGTTTTGAGTCCAGAAATGAGTCTCAAGAGAGCTCTCTAATCCCCATGTGCCTATTTTTTAAAACAATAATATGTTCATGTTGTTTTGGGTCTAGATAGGGACTAGCTTTCTGATTTAAAAAAAAAAAAAAAAAGTTCTAACCTCAGGGTTTAGCAATTCATCATGCATGAATCTGGAGAACAGTGTTGATGTTGTTAGTTATGTTTATCTTATTCTTGTTTTAGGAACCGAAATACAGTATTCTATGCTCCTATTTGCAAAGGACTTAAAAAAAAAATATCTTGGGTCAGGGATGTACCACTTGCCTATCCTGTAGGTGGATGTAAAGTGTCCAGATGTATGATTGGAAGTAAGGAAAGTTACTTCTTTAGAGCTGCAGAGAAAGTAAACTCCAACTGGATAAGCAGTGTGTTTTTACAGCTGTAAGCCAAAGCTGTGTTTGGCTGCTGTCCTTCAGATGCTTGCTCATCTTCACTAGTCCCTGAGGAAGGAGTGACTATTTGCAGCCCTGTTGTTAGTAGTTATTGTAGGAAAAATTACCCCCCTGCCCCCAGGGAAAGAAACTGGCATTGCTCAGAGGTTCTACATCAAACCTAAAGGAAATATTTATTTTTTTTAACATGAGAAAATTGTAAAGGGAGGGAACTCCAGAGATGGCCCTAATGATCATTTTATAAAAGCTGCCCTCACTTAAGGGATGCAGTTTTGCTTAAGCAACTCTTCACAGACTCGGCTCATCTTTGACACGTCAAAGAAAAAATACTTCTGAAATTCAGTCTATTTTTAAATTTATGTCTGTGGAGTAGATAAGAAGTATCAGCCATAGTGGGGGAAGGAGGAGCATCTGAGGAGGAGGACTAACCTGTATGCAGAAGGAGAAAGCCCAGCATTTGTTGAGTATGTTTCATTAAAAAACATTTTAAAAATATGTCCATCATGGACTGAGGCTATAGCTCAGTGGTAGAGTGCTTTCCTAGCATGTATGAGGCGCTGGGTTCAAGCCTCAGCACCACATAAAAATAAATAAGGTATAAAAATAACTTAAAAAAAGAATGGATGCTGAATTTTTTAAAAGTATATTGTCCATCAGCAAGGTAATCGTACATGCATGGAATTTAATTTATTCTATTTCAGTCCCCGGTGCCCTCCCTCACCCTCTCTTTTCTCTCTCCCATCATCCTTCTTCTACTCTACTGGTCCATTTTCCACATTTAAATATTTTTAATTGGTGATTTCTAGATTATTTTATAATACAGTATGCTGATAACATCAGCAGAAATATAAATGCCCCCCTTTATGAGAATCTGAATCAGCAGGTTGTAAATGGACAGACACCCACAAGCTTCTGCTCATTGAACGAGGTTTATTTACATTTGACCTTCAGGAAGACGATTGATAGCACAGAATTAAACAGAGAGACCACCCAAATGAGAATAAGGAAAACCTGTTTATTTGGAGTTGGCCATCTTTGTGACACAGGGTTGAGATTCACAGGCAGGCAGAGGAGTGATTCAGCTCACTTTGGGAAGAGAGGGCTCCAGGCGTTCCCTGATAAAGGCTAGAGTAGAGTCCTTTCATGTGATTTGGCTAAGGGAACATATTTAAGCATCCCTAATTGATCCTAAGTTGGAAATGAGACCAAATATTAAGGAAGCTGTCAGTTACTAATCAAGTGCTAGCCATTTGGGACCAATTATTATAGGAGCTGTTGTTTGGCTTCTTGGCTCAGTGTTCTGACTTCCCACAAGTCTAATTTGTAAGAAAGAAGACTGAAGTCCGGGACAGGTTACTGTAGAAAATGGATTGGTTTCCTGAGCTCTTTGCCACAGATTGTGTGACAGAGTTCTATTATTATGTATGGTCTGGTCCTTACCTATAAAAATAAAAAATAAGATGGAACTCAGCCAATTTGTAATCTTCTTTTAGGGACTGGGAATAAGATTCTAGGAAACTGTAGCAGAGGGAAAATGAGGAGTTTATCAGTTACCTATTAATGTATAAGACACTAACCCAAAGCAGCACATGACTTCAACAAGGACTTATGTTTTGGGCTGAGTGGTCCCTCCACTGCTTCCGCTGGGCTTCTTTGGGGGGCTGCATTCAGGTGAGAGTCAGCTAAGCTGGGAGATTCACTTTACCTGTCTGAAAACTGGTGCTGTGTGTTTCCTCAGCATCTCATTCACTATGGCTTCTCATCATTCAGCTGGCTAACCCACCTTCTTTACAAGGACAGTGGTTCAAGGAGAGGGCGGATATAAGGAAGTGTTCACTAATGCTTTCAAATCATTCAGCAGGAACTAAAATATAGTTAGGTGACTATACTTTGGCCCCAAGTCTGTAGAAGAAGACCCTGTGCTCAAGGGAGGGTTTCAGGTGGAGCTGAGGACTGGAATTTTGAGCTGAAGCACTGCTTTTCTATAATAAAAAGGGAGGGTTACTATGATTATGCTTCATGAAAGGTATATGGGATTTTTCTGTTTTCATATCATGCCATCATAGCCACACTTGAAGCTCCCAGAATATGCCAGGCAGCACCTCAGTGTCTGTTTTCTCCATTTCCCATATTTCTAGCTCTTTGTTGTTTCAAAATGTCCAGTGAATTTCTCTCATATACCCCCCTGGGTTGACACTGAGCACAGCCTGAGAACACTTTCACAAATCTTTTCTCCTGCAGGATCTTGCTCACTTTCCTGGCTAAGGCCCCTGCCTTCCTATGTCCATTTTTTTTTCCTTTACATCACTCACTCTTTATGTAACTTTCCTCTCTTGACCACTATGTTAAAGAGAGAGAGAGAGAGAGAGAGAGAGAGAGAGAGAGAGAGACCATGTCTATTAAAACTTGTTTAACGTCTAAATATTCACAGTTTAAAACTACTATAAATATACAATGAAATACTTTAGTCCTATCTATTTGGGGTCCACCTACCCCATCCCCATCTCTTACTCCCTTTTCTCCTGGGAAGCATTGCTGATGAATAACTTTTTATGTTTGTTATATGTGATAATTTTTTGAGTCAAAGGGTGTATGCATATTTAATTTTGAAAGATATTGCCAAGTTCTCTCCATAAAGTTGTACTTATTTGCATCTGTGCCAACAGTGTGTTAGAGATCTTACTTCTCTTGCATCTCAGAATAAATTACCAGATTTCTGGAGTTTTCTGATTTCACTGGTATAAAATTATACTGCAATTTAATTTTTGTCATTTTTCTTCAGTGAATAAATTTGAATAGTGTTCATACTCTTTGGCCATTTTTCTAAAGGGTTAATGATGTTGTTGTTGCTTTTTTGAAATTTTACTAGAAAGATTTAGTTTTGTAATATTCCTACTTACACACTTTCTTTAAATTGTTAATTTTTTTTCTTTTTTCATGCAGAAGTTCTTGATTTTTTTATGTAATAGACTTTAGTTTTATTCTTTTGTGGCTTCTAAATTTTGAGTCTTACTTAGAAAGGCCTTCTTCTATCCAGTACTATATAGGAATTATCTTAAAATTTGTTAATTTCACCCACTTGTGAATCTTTTACCATGTTGAACTTGGAATTTATCATGTTGTGAAGTAAGAAGTATCGATGCAAATTTATTTTCTTAATGAACAGATAATTTTCCTAACTCATTTGTATTTCCTTTTTACCATAAGCTATGATTTGAATATCCTTCCCAAACTCATGTTGAAATTTAATCCCTACTCCTACTAAGAGCTGTAAGAAATGGAGCTTTTAAAAGGTGATTAGAACTCCTCCCTCATGGATTGAGTAACCCATCTGTGTGATGAACCATGGATTAAGAGTAGATTTGCTATAAAAGCCAGTTTGGCTAGGTCTCTATAGCTCTCTCTGTTTCACCATGAGACAGCCAGTGTCTTGCCCTCTGCCAGCAAGAAGGCTATTAACAAATAAATGCATCTTCTCAAGCAGGAAGATCAGAACTGCCAGCCAAGATAAACTTCTTTTATTTGTAACTTATCCAGTCCATGCTATTATTAGCAAGAGAAATGAGCTAAAACACCATACCCTTTTGAGATGCCATTTTTATCATATACCAAATTCCCAGATGTAATTTTTTTAGACTATGTTCCATTAATCTATCAATGTGCTAGCACCACATGGTTTTTAATTATCATACCTATGTCACAGAGCTGTTTCCCTTTTTTGATTTTTTAGAGGTTTCCTAGCTTTATACTAGGCTTATTTTTTCCATCTGAAGTTCAGAATCAAGTTAGTTTAAAACACACTCCTTTGAGGTTTTAAAAATACAAATGTGTGTTTTATCTTCCAACTCCTTTTGAAACTGAAAAATCAAACATAAAAATTTAGACAGAATAGCTTAATGAGCCCCCATGGAGAGGCAACATAAAGCTTTGGGATAATTTCATGACCAATCTTTATCATCCATCTTCTTATCCATTTATTTTTCTTTGAAAAAGATCCCAGATATATAATTTAATCTGTAAATATTTAAATATATAAATCAAAACAAAGATAAGTTTTTTTTCTTTTGGTGGCACTAGGAATAGAAATCAGGCTCTTGCATGTCTCTAGTCCAAGAATTCTTTTAAAAACAAAATTATAATACAATTACATAGACATCTAAAATTGTTTTTAAACAATACTTTTATGTTTTATAACTGCCTCCAAAATGTAGTTTCCCCATTTTTAATATCAATATTAGTAAGATACATTTATAGATTAATTTAGGGAGTAGTAATATCTTGATAATTGAGTTTTCTTGTCAGGAATATGACATGTCTTTCATTTACCAAAATTTGGTAATTTACTGCTGTTTGGGAGTTTTCTTCCCATAGGAATTTTACTACCTTTTTTACTTGATGTTTATTATCTTTGTTGTGGTTTTTGTAAATTATACTTCTTCTTGTTTTACTTATGAATGATCTTGATTTATATGTGATAATGTTGTATATACCAACTTATTGCAGTTTTTACTTGTTTATGTTTTTTTTTAATAGACTTCATTGTATTTCATGGAATTGATCACATAATCTGCAAATAAGTCATGGCCAGAACTCTTCACTAATTTAAAAGTGTCTTTTCTCTTATTACCTTAACCAGGGTTAATATTAGTGGTAACAGTGAACATTCATACCTCGTATAGATAATGAATAACAGAAGGTGCTATTATGAGCCTGGCTGTTAAATATATATAACAGTCTAAGTATAAAAATCACCTTTCAGTGCTCTAACAACATGATATAACCTAAACAGAAATATAGTACATGGATGTTGAATTTTTTATTTTTTTATTAGTAAAATTCATTCACTTTTCACTGGCAAGTAGGAACTACTTTGAGGTTTCTTTCCCACTCCCAATTTTTGACTTCTAAGGGTGCAGTCTAATCTCAGGGAATGAGAATCCTAGAATATTCTGGACATGTGGTCTTGGCCTTCGGTGCCAGTTCCTCTAGGTGTGATCAGTGGGGACACCATGAACCCTGAATCGATACAAACAAGTATACTTCGGGTGTCCCCAGTTGCTAAGGATTTTAAGATTCACACATAATAAAGGTTCAGAAACTTCATGCTGAAAATAAAGAAAAGAAAAAAATTAATGCCTTGTAAAGAAATCCCATTGTATCTCAATGAATGCTTATGTAATGGAAAATTAAAATTTTCTTTTCTCCCTAACATAAGTATTTTCAGATACTGTCAAATGGACAAGAGAAAGAGCTTCTGAAAGGAAAGAAAAGACAATTAGGGGGAGAAAGATAATAAAGTGGTCTGATGTCAAGTGTCTGTCACTACTGTGCTGTCTCTTGAGTGCTCCTACTGGCTTCACAAGGAACACAGAGTGTTGGTTGTATGAAAACAGATCTATGAAGTCAACTATAAAAGTGAATGTGAGTGTATGAGCCCAAATGCATGTGATTATGCAATCAAATATAAAAGTGTACAAACACCCCCTGCTAATACCAAAATCTGTGGAGGCTCAAGTTCCTTATATAAAATATATGGTTAATATATAACCTATGCACATCCTCCCATGTACTTTAAAACCTCTAAAGTACTTATAACATCTAATTTAATGTAAACACTATGTAAATAGTTGTTATACTGTATTGTTTAGGTTACAATGAGATAAGGAAAAAAAAAGCCTTTACATGTTCAGTTCAAATGCAATTATTTTTTCAATTTTTTAAAAAGATTTAGTTACAACTAAGGTAGGATTTGTTTATTTTTTAATTTTTAAAATTTGTTTTAGTTATACAATGACAGTAGAATGCCCTTTGATTCATCATATATAAAGGAGTATAATTTCTCATTCTGCTTGTACATGATATTGAATACACTGGTCATATAATTATATATGTACATAGAGTAATAATGTCTGATTCATTTTACTATCCTTCCTACCCCCTATTGGCCCTCCCCTTCCCTTCACTGCCCTCTACCTAATCTAAAGTAACTCTATTCTTCTCAAGCCATCCCCATAATAGAGAAAACATTCAGATTTTGGTTTTGGGGGGTTGGCTTATTTTGCTTAGCATGATATTCTCCAGCTCCATCCATTTACCATGATTACATTCTTCTTTATATATATATATATATATATATATATCACAGTTTTTAATCCATTCATTTGTTGAAGGGCAACTAGGTCAAATATTTTTGATCTGTAGTTCACTGAACCCATGGACACAGAACCCATGGATATGATGGGCTGACTATATATTATTTTTGGCTTACATTTTTCTCACCATTGGCCACAAAGTTTCATAAAAGGTTTATTTTTACATGGTATGAGTTGCTTTCTACATCTCTTCAGTTACTTCCTGTGGCCAATGAGAAATAATGAAAATAGTTTTCATATACCGTAGTGAGTTATAAAGTTAATAGCTGGCAGTCTCCCTTTCCACTAGTATTAAATATCCTCTCTTCCTCTAAGTTCCTCCTGCCCCTATCTACCTCATTCTGCACCATCATCCCAGTCCCTTTGTCCAAGAAAGATAAAATAGTGAATATCAAATGTAACAGTTTCAAGGGTTCAAGAGTTAAAAGAAGGATTGAGGGGCTGGGAATGAAGCACAGTGGTTGTGTTTACCTCCTATATGTGGGGTCCCTGGGTTTGATGCCCAGTGTCCCCAAAATAAATAAATGAATAAATAAGTAAATAAATAAATGAGAGAAAAAACTGAGAAACCTAACAGAAAGACAGCAGATAAGGAAGAGTTTTGCTTAGAAACTGCTTTTGTAATTTCTCTTCTTTTGCATTAAAATCAATGTAAAACTTGAGCAAAGAAGTGAAATTCTGATAAGCCTTGCCTAGCTCATGTTTTTGTCATACTTATTATTGCACACCATGCAGCAATTCCAGCAGAACTCTCCCAGTGATGAAAACAAACATATCTTATTTCCCAGAGCAGACATTACCTGGAGTTCAAAAGTTTGAACGGTGTTTTCTGTCTTGTTGTATATAAATTGACCTAGGAAAATTTCTTCTCCTTCACATTTTTTTGCGATGCCCTATAAAGAAACCAATGGATTTGGAAGTTACAAGCTTGGTTAAAACAAATGGATGTAGTTGTTCAAATAGCAACAATGTATTAGGCACTTTGTGTTTTTCTGTGAAGGGCTGAGTGCTGTGCTAGAGTCAGGATTGGCTTATACACCCAAAGAGCCTTAACCTTGAGGGTTAATGAGGCCAGAGGCTGATTACAGAGCTGGACAGGAAGGTAGGTAGGCAGATATATAGATAGAAAGAGATAGATGAAAGTAGATGAGAGCTACGTGTGTGTGTGTGTATGT